AAAAAAGAACCCTCTAGGCCCAACAAAGTTGTTTCATTTTTATATGGTCTCAATGTCAAGCCCGGCCCACATACGAGACAGTAATCGGAAACTGGTTTCTGTGATGAAGATGGCCTGTGGGCTTCTGATTTGGAGCCCAATTTCTCTTTCCTCTGTCTGCCCATTTTCCCGTCATTTCCTCTCCTCTCAATGTCAAGCTCGTTCTCTTGCGTTTGTAATAATTCTCAATGATCCTCCCCTCGAACTTCTTTCACTGGCCCAATTTCTCTTTCCTCGGCCCATTTTCCTTTCTTTTCCTTCTCTCTCTCAATGTCAAGCTCGTTCTCTTGCTCGGGACTATCTTAGTTAGTAATAATCCTCAACAATCTTCCCTTCGAACTTCTTTCACTAGAGCCCTCGAACAAAGTACACTATTTATTCGAAATTTTAGTCACTTTTGACTACACTTTCGAGGCCCACAATTATTTGTTCGACATTTGAGGATTTTATCGACATGGCTAAGTTTAGGGCATGACTCTGATACCATGTTAGGAATCCCGGATCTCCACGATGGTATAATATTGTCAATTTTGAGCATAAGTGGCTTTGCATTGGGCTTCCCAAAAGGCCTCGTACCAATGGAGATAATATTCCCCACTTATAAATGTATGATCTTCTACTAAATTAGCAAACGTGGGACTCACTCCCAATAATAATCCTCAACCATCCCAACCTCGATTTCAAGGTGAAATTTCTATATTCCACCGATTTATGGGGTTTTCGCACATTTTTGTTTGGTGTGTTAGTTGGCATAAAAATTGAAGAATGAGTTTGAAATTCATCAAGTAGAAGTGGAAAACAGAGAAGCCATCTAACCATTAGCCTTTGTCGATTCATAATCATCATAAGAACTTGCAAGGATCTTGTTTGGTCCTTCGAGTTATTCAACTCACTGTGAACAATCTTGATTTTGTCACCCCTTCAATTATAGTATTGAAAAACAGAATAGCCTATAATGACTAATCAAGCTCTTCGATCGCAATAGATTGAGATTTGGTAATCATGTCTGCAAATTTTTGGGTTTGTTTGAGATAGAAGTGAAAGATGTCATGGTTTTATTACTTCATCATCCTTCCTTTTTAAGCCAAATGTGGTGTAAAAGCTTTTGGTATCTTACGGAGAAGTTTGGTTAAGGAGTGACTACTAATTTCAGAGTTATTTTCTCAAACAAAAAGCTTAAGTTCTCTGGCTAGTGCTCCCAAAAGCGATGTTCTACGAGTTGCTGATTGAAGAATCTCACGGAGTTGGAGGATAGGTGTAACAATCTTTCGTAGTAGATATTGTCCTCTTTGAATTTTCTCTTCCTGACTTCCCCTCAAGGTTTTAAAACGCGTATACTAGAGAGAGGTTTCCACACTTTTATAAATAATGTTTTGTTCCCCTTTCCAACAAATATGTGATTTCACAATTCACTCTCTTCGGGGTCCAGTGTCCTCGATGACACTCATTCTCTTCTCCAATTGATGTGGGAATCCCTAATCCACCCCCTTTGAGACACAGTGTCCTTGTTGGCACACCGCCTAATGTCCACCTTCTTCGAGACTCAGCTTCTTTACTGACACATCATCCAATATCTAGCTCTTATACCATTTGTAACATAGCCTAAAAAATTAAGGACACTACCTGCGTAACTCACAAGTACATCCATGAACCAACGAACAGGAGCTATGCTCTTCAATTTCCGAACAGAACAGCTCACTTCAATCTAGACTTGGACAGAATCTCCCTCCACGGTCGCAGCATTTATTTCTAACCTCCTTTGTTCAAAAAATGGTAAAGAACATAAAAGAAAATGGTGCTAAAGAATGCATATGAGGTGCCCATTGGATTGAAACTCACATGGGCTGCTTCTGCTGTCCCTTTTGCCTCAAAATCTTTATTTAATGCAAACATGTGAGTGTTGTAGTTAAGTCACTACCTCCTCTTTTGCCCCACATCTCACTTTCACCCTTCCATCCTCGTCAATAACTTAGCTCTCTTTTACATTTGTTTTCACTTTCTATTTATTTCTGTCTCTCTCTTTATCTTCCATTGATGTTTACGTCGATTCTCGAGCTATGGAAGAAGAAATCAAAAGAATCGAGAAGAAAGTATAAAAAACAACAGATTCGGTTTTATTATAAAACAACTCACCACAACTCTCAACCTTCATATCAATCTTATTTCTACCATATTTCATATCGACCACACGCCCCTTTTTGTGTACTAATGAATATACTAATGAATATAGGTTGCTTTACTCAACTTTTATCAACAATGGTGAAGGCTTGCAAGAGGGAAAAACAAAAAATAAGAATGGGATCACGCTCCTATAGTGTTGTCTTACATTCAAATAATTATACAAATATTTAAAAGTGAATTCGTTACATTTTTAAAGAAAAATTGATGTGATAAATGTAATTCATGCATGGTACAAACACAAGTTTTTTTATATAAAAATTTTAATTTCTTGTCTTAAAATTATTTCTCGAACTATAGAGTGTGAATCAAACTTATATTTGAATTTAAATTGAGATACTCATGTAAATTCTTCTCATCTAAATCAAATGAAGGGAGAGACATGGATCGGAGCTATTACAAAGAATTTCGAGATAATATATCTTAGTTTTTTCCCCTTTTTTTATTTTTATTTTTACTAGGAAAATAATTATTAATCTATTTTCCATTTATATGAATATATTAATTAATGGGACCCACTACCATCAGTGTCATGAATCCTATGGAGAGGACACATTCAATTATGGATCTAAGTCATGCTATGCATTAATTGAAGGACAGGCAAAGGTCCTATAAAACAGAAAAAAATCCAAAAAAAAAATGTGTGAATATAATAACTAAAATCTTATAAAACTCAAATATCGAACATTTACAAATCACAACGCATCATTAATATCCATTACAACATTAAATATTCTTAATCGTCGTAATAATCTTAAAAGTAGAATATGGTTGTTACTTTATTTTCGAGTTAGTCGAGTTGATCAGACAAAAAAACGTCAACACACAAATATACTGAGTTTTAAGTTTCCAAAGAATTCATTCTTACCTAAAATAAAAAATCTAACCCAATCAAAATTATATGGTTTGGATCAAGTAATTTAAGTTAGTCGAGTTCTTAGATCACATGAACACTTCTAGTCAAAACCACCATTATATCTAGATATTTTTTATCACTCCAATATATACTCAACTATCGAGTTGCATTATAAAAATAAAAAAATAAAAAATAAAAACATTAATTTTTTTATCCTAATCTATAAAAAGCACAAAAAGAAATTTTGTATTTTTAGAACAAACAAAAAAAAACATTAAAAATTTAAAAAATAACAGAGTGGAAAGGCAATTTGAAAGAAGCAGTTATTATAGCACAAAGGCTTTTTTGGTAATTTGATAATATATGCCAACACGACAATACAAAAGCACGCGCACTGCCGTTAAAATTTTCCATGTGAAAAGACCACACATGCCCTCCTCTATTCGTGTGTACTGTGCGTGCAGTCCCACATTGTCCGACACGTCGTCCAATAATCCTTCCACCAATCCACTTTTTTTTCTTTTAAATTATATATTTAAACGAATAAAGTCGGTCAAGACATTTTTTAGATTTAAGATCATTGTTCGATTTATTAATTTTTTTAATTTAAATAATTCTTATTAAATAATAAATTTAACTAAAAAATTTTTTTGAGAGTTGTTTGCATCTTTTATTAAAAGTTTTATTTTTAGTAAAATAAAACGTAAAGCATTTCTTTATACAAAATATTCATATTTAGTAAGTATTTTTATTTTCGAATTAAAAATCAAATAATGTAAATTTTATTCAAAAGAATATTCGAAGGAATTATTTTAAAGATTTCGAACATTGAGATTGAAGAAGGAAGCGTACTCGCTCATGGGTTTGAACAAGTGTCCCATTAATGCTTCCATTTAAAAACACACAAGGAGCGCGTGACTTCACGACATTCTACTGTCTCCATCTTTTACATAATTTGTTAAAACTCCTTTCCTTTTCGCTCTATTTTCAAATTCGCCCATCATTTTTGCTTTTCTTCAAATTATTCCCATACTTTCTTGTTATTAATTATTTGCCCCTACCCCTACGCTAATGATACTTCGTCTTTTTTTCTATTGGCTTTTATTTTTTTCTCAATTTCTATATTAAATTTTAGGAAAATATTAGAGATTGTATTTGCATTTCTCGACTCGGATAATAAAATTATTTATTAAATAATTTTAAATACTCAAACCACGAACCATTTGAATTTGAGGTCAAAAAATTAAAATTATTAGATTCACTCTATTACTGTTGATTTTTTTTACCGCTTTCAAAATTGTAGTCTTATCCATAATTTCATTACACCATGCTCGATTATTACGTGTATCTTAAACCATCTTTTTTTACCTAATTCCCAACATTTACCTTTTCAACCCCAAAATAGTTTTTTTTTCTTATTTATTCTTTTTTTTTTTTTAATGAATTTCTCCCATAAAAAAAAAATTAAGATCAGTTTTATTGTTTTATTAAAAAAAAACTTTATTCCTTATTTTTTGGATAGTCATTGTTGGTCATTTTTTTGCAAGAACGGATGCTAAAGACAGATATCGAGGAAAATGAGTTGTAAATATTTAGAAATTGAGGGGCAAATTTGAAAAGTGAAAGAGCATGAGGGGCATGATAGCAAAAAGAATAGAGTTAATTAAAGACTTGCATTTAGCTTCATCGAGGTTCGAACCCGCCCACCCAACCCCCGCAACATTCTATTATTCTTTACTTTCTCCTTCAGCTTTCCATATCTTCAAACCCTAAGTGAAAAGAAATACAGAAAAGAAATTAGGAACAAATTGCAGAAGAACAGAGAAATGTTTAGTCGCAGTTAAAACAATATGTTTTTACTCCACTAGCCTCCTTCCTTCCTTCCAACCCCACACACAATCCTTCTCAACCTCTCACTTCATCAGCCATGGCGGCGTTTCATCTCTCTAACCCTTTCCCCTCACCCACCATTTCAATCTTCTTGTTCTTCTTCCTTTTATTCAAATCCATCGATTCTCTTTCGTCTCCTTCATTTTCCCTTTCTGGGTTTCGTGGAGATCCACAGTTTGAACTCAATGTCGCTCTGTACGGTGATGCGGTGGTTGTCGGCGACGGCAGTGCTCTCAGCCTCAGCGGTCCGGTCAGTTCCAGTGCTGGGCGAATCGTGTACAAGAAACCCATCAGGCTTGTTCGAGGTAAATCGAGGAGATTAATGTCTTTCTCGACTGATTTCTCATTTTCTTTGTCGCCAAACACAGGGGGGGAGGGTGGATTGGGTTTTGTTATTCTTCCAAGTAGTTTTAACGTTAGTGCCTTTGATAACGGACCATTTGGGCTTCATTTTGGATCGGAGAAGAAACAGAAGATGAACATGATCGTTGTTAAATTTGGTACTTCTTATGATTCTGAGAATGGCGATCTGATTAGAACGGTGGTAGGAATTGATATGGGTTACAAGAGGAATGTTTCAATAGCTGGTTCAGGCATTGTTTCAAACAGTTCATCTGCATTAATTAGGGAGAAGAATTTACACGCCTGGATAGATTACGAGGTGGGTTCTAGGCAATTAGAAGTAAGATTAGCAGAAAATAGGGAGAACAAGAGGCCATCTGTGCCATTACTTTCATTCCCAATCGATTTCTCTCAGATCTGGGGAGAAGATGAGGAAGTGGTGGTGGGATTGAGTTCATCAAATGGGAACTCATCATCCCAGCCATGTTTAGTCTATTCTTGGAGCTTCAAGCTCAAGAGCATTCCGAATTGGATGCACTCAGAGCCGCTCGATCCGAAGACAATCGCCATTGCCAGGGAATCGGAACCCCAAATCGTTGTCAAGGATGGGAAGAATTGCTTGATGAGAGTGGTTGCGGGCATGATTTTTGGGACTGGATGTGGGGCATTGACAGCCTTTGTTGCATTGTATTTATGGACCATCTTTGGGCATAGGCGAGCAGTGGTGCCTGAGGAGTTTGCGATGCAGCAGATGGATGTGAAGTACGAGAAAGTTGTGGTGTTGGACAAAGGCATCGAAGATTATGGTAAGACGAAGGTCGATGTTTGAGTCTGAAAACAAAAGAATTGTATTTTGGCTTTTGCTTTGTTGCTGTAATTTGGCTATCAATTGTCTAAAGGTGTAGTTTTTTAGTTACCCATGTAATGGAACCACCTCTTTTAACCTGCCCAACCCCACAGGCTGAACATTTGTGTATACACAACACCATAAGGTTAAAAACTTAAGAACAGAGCTCCAATGAATCATGCATCTAAAACCTTAAGAATTTGTCAAATCCAAACACAGCCCTGGCCAAGCGTAACCTTCCGATGAACCCAAGCCTTCTAAGCCTTTCGATAAAGTTGAAACTTCGAATTTTCACTGATATATATTCCTATGTTTCAATGTTGTGTTTGCTCAAAATTTCTTTTATGCTCGGGAACGTTTGTGAGATTTATGTTGGTTGGAGAGGAAAATGAAACATTTTTTTTAATTAGGGTTTGAAAATCTTTCCCTATTGAACTCGTTTTAAAACCGTAAGGCTTGACGATATGTAACGGGTCTAAGTGGACAATATGTGCTAGTGGCGGGCTTGAGCTGTTAGAAACCGTATCATCGGGTGGTCCCAGACAGGTTGGAGAAGGGAAACATTACTTGTGTGTGGAAAATTGTGAGGTTGGAGAAGGGAAACATTACTTGTCTGGAAAATTGTGAGGTTAATGGCGATATGTAATGTAACGGGCCCAAAGCAAACAGTATATTTTAATGGTAGAAATGCGGAGAATATGTGCTAGCAGTAAGCTTGCTAGTTTGTGAGGTCTCACATCGGTTAGAAAGAGAAACGAAACATTAGGTGGAAATATCATGGCAAAACATAATGAGTTAAAAGCATACAATATATAATAGCGATGGAAAAACGGAAAATATGTGCAAGCATAGGGATTGAGCTGTATCCTAAAATATGTGATAGCATAGGGATTGAGTTGTTACAATATTGAACCACCTAAAAATATAATTACTTATTAGTGATCCAAAAAGCTCGAATGAATTCAATCAAAGAACAAAGAACACTCACAAGGACTGTAAGGAAGCCTCATCAACAATTTACAGTTCGTACAAAATAAAAACAAAGAACACTTACAAAACAGTCCCAAACTGGCCTAGCTTTGATATTCGAATCAAGGGAAATCAGCTAGTGAAAGTGATGTTCATATATGGGATTACACAAACAATTCATATCAGCTACGGTAAAAATTAAACTGTCTGTAGACACAATCAGTTCAAAAGTTGAGCACAACATAAAGATGATAAAAGACAACACAAAATAGACAAATCCACAAGACTGGCAACAGAAGTTGCAACATATTACACAATCCCTACAAACATAAAACCCCCATATTCTATCTTATCTTCTTACACATTATCTTCTGGGTCCTCTTCTTCTTCGTCGTAATATTCCTCATCGGCTGTGGCGTCTTGGTACTGCTGGTACTCAGAAACCAGATCATTCATGTTACTTTCAGCCTCAGTGAACTCCATCTCGTCCATACCTTCACCTGTGTACCAGTGCAAGAAAGCTTTCCTCCTAAACATGGCAGTGAACTGCTCACTCACACGGCGGAACATTTCCTGAATTGATGTGGAATTTCCAATGAACGTTGAAGCCATCTTCAGACCAGTTGGAGGGATATCACAAACAGTCGATTTAACATTGTTTGGAATCCACTCCACAAAGTAAGAAGAGTTCTTGTTCTGCACGTTGAGCATTTGCTCATCTACCTCCTTCGTGCTCATCTTGCCTCTGAACATAGCAGAGGCAGTTAAGTAGCGACCGTGTCGTGGGTCTGCAGCACACATCATGTTCTTGGCATCCCACATTTGTTGAGTAAGCTCCGGCACAGTCAGTGCTCTGTACTGCTGGGAACCACGAGATGTGAGAGGAGCAAAACCCACCATGAAAAAGTGGAGACGAGGGAAGGGAATGAGATTAACAGCAAGCTTTCTGAGATCAGAGTTAAGTTGCCCAGGGAATCTCAAACAGCAAGTCACACCGGACATGGTTGCAGAGATCAAATGGTTCAAATCACCAACTGTTCCAACCATACAAGAGAAACAAATTAGTGCAATAAATGAATTAAAACAATTTGTTTCCAAAACAAAATGCAATAGTAATAAACATTGAATCTTAGATGTACTTTCTTTCCCACGGGTTCATAATCACTAAACTAGCATAATTCATATCCCAGATCTCATCATTAATTAATAACTACCACACATCAGCTTTAACTCTGCGTACGAAACTCAGTACGTGCTACAAAAATTAACAAAGAAACAGACAACTACTAAACAGCGTGTTGAAAGTAAAGAAGAAAATTCCAGATGTTTAAACGAAGATAGATCTTACAGCTTGGAGTGGTGAGCTTGAGGGTACGGAAGCATATATCATAGAGAGCTTCATTGTCAAGAACCATGCACTCATCTGCATTTTCAACCAGTTGATGAACTGAGAGAGTAGCGTTGTAAGGCTCAACAACAGTATCAGAAACTTTGGGAGATGGAAAGACGGAGAAGGTAAGCATCATCCTGTCCGGATATTCTTCTCTGATCTTCGAAATCAGAAGAGTACCCATCCCAGATCCAGTTCCCCCTCCTAGAGAGTGACACACCTGAAACCCTAAAAAACCACAAGACCGCACCAACGTTGAGAAAAAATCACAGAAATAGATAGAGAGAATCAGAAACAGAAACAGAGGCAGATCAATAGCTAACCTTGCAAACAATCACAGTTCTCCGCCTCCTTCCGGACGACATCGAGCACGGAATCAATAAGCTCGGCCCCCTCAGTGTAGTGACCTTTAGCCCAGTTGTTTCCAGCACCAGATTGACCAAAAACAAAATTATCCGGCCTGAAGATCTGACCATAAAGCCCAGATCTGATACTGTCCATAGTACCAGGTTCAAGATCCATGAGAACAGCGCGAGGTACATACCTCCCGCAACTAGCTTCATTGTAGTAGACATTAATCCTCTCAAGCTGAAGATCGGAATCTCCCTGATACTTTCCGGTGGTATCGATGCCGTGCTCGGCGCAAACAACTTCCCAGAACTTGGCACCGATCTGGTTGCCACATTGCCCACCCTGAACGTGAAGGATCTCTCTCATTTTTCCGCAGAAGAAATGGGTTTCTGTGAGAAATGCGAGAGAGGAAGAGAAGAAGGGCGGGGAAAATAAATGGGAAGTTGTTAGGACGGAGAGAGATTAAGAGGTTACCTTTTTTTACAGAGAAGAGAGAGAGAGAGAATTGGTTTATAAAGGGGGAAGAGAGAGAAACCGGGAATTAGGGTTTTTTTTTGGTTGCAGAGAGAGAAACGAGCTGTGAAATGCAACGGGCTACCTGGTGGAGTGGTAACGGTAAATGAAATGCGCTGGAAGGTTTTCAAATTTTGAATTTCAAATTTCATTTAACAGCTGGACAAAATACCCGGCCCTTTCCCCCAAATCCAATAAATAAAAAATTAAAAATATCAACAACAAAAAAAATCCACGAAAATAAATAATAAGATATTTGTGAGGTGTCAACATTTTCTATGACGTAATTAAGCTGTCTTTAATTTTTTATTCCAATTAAAACTTAAAATTAATTATTTTTTATTGAAATGATTTATATACTACAAAAGGCATAATTAATTCCAATGAAATAATTCCTAAGTTGACATTTTTAAAAATACTATAATTAATAATAATGATAATGAATGTGATTAATCAATTACTATTTGATTTTTTAAAAATAAATATCTCCTTATTTAATCATCCAATATTTATATATATATATATATATAGTCGTTGATCTTTTCGGTTTTCGCTCTACTTTTTTGAATAAAAAATATAAATTCAATATTTTGAATAGTTAAATAAATAAATAAATAAATGGAATAAATTTTGAAGCTCAGATTTATTTGTTTATTTTCCATAGGGGGATAATCACGAGAAAGCATAGATCGTCCAGATTGTCCTCGAAAATCTAAAAAAGAAAAAAGAAAAATCCAAGGTTAAAATTGTCATTTAACTTAAATGATATGGACAAAAATGGGAGAAGATGAGTTAGATAAAAATAAATAAATAAATAAATAATCATTTGATATTAAATTTAACACCCACCCCTTATATGGGACGTGGACCCTTTTGTCTTAAATGGACAGCGACGTTTCGTCAACTCTTCTTTGTTTTACCTTTCATTTTAATATATAAAACAAAAAATTATAATGAAAATACATGTCCACGTCACCTTTAAATCCATATTTTAAATTTATTTGTTAGATCTGAAGTTGGTTAGAGGGTGTCAAACCTATCACAAGCAAACAAGTATATTAAGTAAAATCCAAAAGAGGAGAAGCTGAGAAAAAATCAAAAGAGAACAATATCTGCTAGCGGTCTTGGATTGTTATTAATGGTATCAAACCCAAACATTGGGCAGTGTATCGGTAAAGACGCTGGCTCTAAGGGAGTGACTTGTGAGATCCTTGGGTTGTTACTAATGATAGCAGTGTGTCAGTAAAGACAAAGTGAGGACATGTTACCAAGGGAGTGGATTATAAGATCTTTGGGCTGTTACTAATGATATCAAAGTGAGGACATTGGCTCAAATGGAGTGGATTATGAGATCTTACATTGATTGTAAATGGAACAATCATATGTAGAAATCTCCTTCTAACCGATGCATTTTAAACCCTAAATTTTCATAATTGAATCAATTTAGCTCGATTATGAGCTATTATCACTTTACTCCATTTAAAATCACCTAATTAATTTTATGGAAGCTAGAAAAAACCGGTTTTAGATTCTGGTCCCATGAACATGTAGCTTGAAAGAGAAGTGAAGGTGATGTAATTGAAGCCAAACTTTGAAGCAAAGCAAAGCAAAACAGAGAGGGTTCTCACAGTCACTCTGAAAAGCACAAAGCAAAAAGAAAGGAGACTTAGCCAAAAAGATAACCCATGGCACAATGAGAATAAAATTACACAACAAAGAAGAAGCCCACCATGAGAAGAATTCAGAGTCACAATACAAT